TCCCCACTGCGCGTGCCTTCCCCACTGCGCGTGCCCATCCCCACTGCGCGCGCCTTCCCCACTGCGCGTGCCTTCCCCACTGCGTGTGCCTTCCCCACTGCAGGCTCCCATCCCCACTGCGCGCGCCTTCCCCACTGCGCGTGCCCATCCCCACTGCACCTGCCCATCCCCACTGCGCGCGCCTTCCCCACTGTGCGTGCCCATCCCCACTGCGCGCGCCCATCCCCACTGCGCGTGCCTTCCCCACTGCAGGCTCCCATCCCCACTGCGCGCGCACGTGCCCACCAGATAAGGAGGTGCAGGGGCCCGGCCCACCCGGGAAGCGAGTTCCCCCCACTGTTGCTTTAGTCTGTTAGGTAAATGCGGTCGAGTTGGCGCCTTCATTCAGGAGGGAGCACGCAGCTGCTGCCCTGACCTCAGGGGTCATCCAGCCCCTGCCCCCCTAATCTCTCCCCAAAGCAGCCCCAGGCTCCTGCCTCTCCGCAGCCCCGCCCCGTCAGCTGACGGACGCTCCCTAATCCATCACTTGCTTCCGAATGGTGTCCCATGGGCTTGCCGTTGATCGAGATGGAGTCCCCGCAGCCAGCCCTCCTTCGGTCCCTACACCCTGCTTGGCCGTCTCCTCGCAGACACGTGGCCACTTGCTTTTGCTCCGAGGTCCCGGGTTCTGGCTGCTGGGGGCCCGCACCTGCCTCAGAGCTGCTTTCTGAGCCATTTCCTCAGGCGGCAGCAGCCGAGGAGCAGGCCCCCGCCCCCCCCCTTGGCCTCTTGGTCTGCAAAGACACGGAGGGGCCTCCATTGTGGGAGAGGGTTCTGGAAGGCCTGGGCGGGGAGGTTCCGACCTTGAGGGGAGGGGTTGTGACCTTGATGGGAGAGGTTGTGACCTTGACAAGCTCCCTTGGCACGTTGCTGGGCAGGTGTCTAATTCAGCCCCCCGGCCCCTGGGGGGTAGCGCCCTGTCTCCTTCCAGGAGTCCTGAGTCTGTGGCAGCCCCTCCTTGTAGTCCCAGACCTGTCCTTGGTCCCGGGGGCATCTGTCCAGAGGGGACGCCGCGGGTGGGGGTGCCTTCTGCCTTGTTCCCTGTGGCATCCCTCCTGCCCCAGGCCTGGGCTCCTGCCTGGGCTCCCTCCTGCCCCAGCTGGTTTCCCCTTCCAGCAGAGTCATCCCCCCCCACCCCCCAGTGAAGCTGGGGAGGCCCCGGGCCGCTCTCTGTTCTTCGCACACCCAGCCCTCCTGCCGCATCTGTGCGAAGGGCGTGGGTGTCCTCGCTCACATCTCCAGCTCCCGCCTCCCCCGAGGGCCCAGATCTCATTTCCACCCTAACACCTTCTCGCTCCAAAGCTGAGGCTCCCTCCACCACAGCAGATGCCCTGAGCCTCTAACCCGCCTGGCCTGTCCCCCCACCTGTCCCCCCCCCCTCAGCCAGGGGTCACCTTTAAAAAACTGTATCCAGGTCTCATTTACGAGCACAGAACCCGTTCATTTGAAGTCTCTTGTTCAACAATTGTTGGCATTTTGCTGAGTCGTGCAGCCTTTGACCCTGGAGAAGGACAGAGGGAGCGTTCAGCCAAAGGGACCACGTTTCCCAGGGCGTGATATATAATGCTTGAACTTGTGGGATTTATGTTTGTGTTTACACACTAATCAGACCAAAATTCCTCGGACACAGCTCAGGTTAAAGATGACAGAGTTTGAGCCACTTGGATTTCTAAATTTCCTCTT